TTGAACATGATTGAACTGAACCTGAACCTGAACTTGACCAAAGTTCGGTTTCAGTTCGGTTCATAGGAACACTAATACCGGTATATATTTTTATTAATGAGTAATTTTTTTGTAGAAAATAAAGAAGGTGTATTTGTAGAAAAGGAGGAGACCATACTAAAAAGGAGAGTGTTGTATATGAGAAAAGTGAAAGTATAAAGGAAAACGAAAATGTAGAGTTTGAGAAAAATGAAAATATAGAGCTTGAAGAAAACGAAAGTATAAAGTTTGAGGAAAACAAAAGTATAGGGTTTGAGAAAAATGAAAGTGTAGAGTTTGAAGAAAATAAAAGTGTAAAGTTTGAGAAAAACAAAGCCATGTTTGAAAAAAATAGAAACACTATGCTTGAGGAAAATGAAGAGGTTACACTTAAATTTTATACATCTCAATCCTTAATTACTAATAAAAGATATAAATTTCTCTTCAATGTTGATGAACTATTTGAAGTTTCAATGCATAATTTTGATTAAGCATAGTAGCCGCTTGTTTCAAATATTTGGTTCAGATTTAGCTATAAAAATTATGCTAATGGTAATTTATAGAAAGTTTTTGCATATTAGCTTATAAAACATAATCATTCAAGTAGGAAAAAAAAGATATCTCTCTTAAAAAGTATAGAAAAACAAAAATCTGTCCTCCTAACCTGTACTCTGCAAAAATTCAGGTGTTGAGTTTTGTTGGGGCATATAAAGTGCAAATTAATGATATAATAATAGTCTTGACTATATATATACACTTGAAGAAAGTAAAATGTTAAAGTATTCAGATGCAATTCAAAAATTAGTAAAAGAAGAAGTAGTCAAGAATTACCCACTACTTACTATTGTGAGTGAGATTAAAAACTATATAACCAGAAAGCTGAATTTGAGTGTAAGTGTTAAAGAGTTAAAATGAAAGGAGATTTCAAACATTAAGCAAAAAGTATGTAAAATGCAAAAAAATAAAAACTTTGAAGATAATATCAGGAAATTTTTAAATAGGGTGAATATTGATTACTATCTGCAGGGTAATTGGCATTAATTTATATTGATAATAATCAATTGTAATCATTCAGATCTAAATAATTGCAATCGATTGACATTGATTTATATCAATTATAATCATTTAGATTTAAATGATTATAATCAATTATTATCAATATAAATTGATACCAATTACCCTGCAAATAGTAATTGATATGCACCCTATTTAAAAATTCCCTAATGAATATAAATTTAGAATCTGATATATTTATTTTTAAAAAATAAAGGTTGGGATCTTTTATTTTATTATATACATAGGCTTGATACTGAAAAAAGAAATAAAATTGACAAAAAAATTTTTCTACAAAAAATTAATTATTTTGCAAACTAGTTTATAAGATAATTAATTTTTTGTAGAAGAATTTTTTTTGTTAATTTTGTCCTTTTTTCCAGTATATTTTATTTATTTATTTATTTTTTTAATTTATTTATTTCTCATTTTATTTATTTTTTTATTTTATTTATTTTTTTATTTTATTTATTTTTTTATTTTATTTATTTTTTTATTTTATTT